GAGGTCGAGGTCGAATATCGTTGATAAGAGTTGTAACGGCTAGGTTTTCAAGATAGGATATTAAAAGAGGATATTGTAGTTGATATTCTCTGCATTTGTACTATTAGGATTTCCTGGGAACATGTCCCGTATATATAGAAAAAATAGACAATAATATGGCATGTGATATTCATTTGTAATAACACATTTTGACAAAAAGATTCTCTCTTTCTCTCTTGCTAAGATACAAACACCACATTTTCACTAAGATTCTTGTCTATAGTATTCCATACTTTTCCATCATATCCGAGAATAACTCGAATATTCAAGAATTTGTCTGTCGCTCATCATTGTCAGGAGGAACATCCATCTATTTCATTCTTTATTGGGTGAATAATTCCTCTTATTTACTTAAATGTCATTTATTGTTATTCATTGCTATTGAATGCTACATTATTGCTCGTTCTATTGAATAATCTCATCTATTGTTTATTGCACCCTTGAAAGTTTTATTTAGAGATATTATTATTAACTAGATTTAACCCCTAATTACATAAATTTAATTATTTGAGCCAAGATCTATATTTTTTGGGCAGAAAGTTGCACCAGTTTACGCTGCATATATCTTGGCAAAGAGTAAGCTATCTGAGTTCAATATGCATATTTCTGATCTACAGATTCTTTGCTTTGGAACTTAGTCTTCATTTGGAGATATAGAGAGTTTAGTTGTGTCCAGTGGTGGTGCTGCATAACTTCAACTTGTGTTAATTGATGCCCTTTTGCGAAAAATTACACTATTTAAATAAGTAATTTTTTTATTTATATATACTATGTGTTGGATTTTTTTGACTTTTTCATATATTTACTTTTTTTTTAAAAGAGAAAAAAACAACCACAATTATTTGGGGAAAGAGGGGGCCAATGCAATATTATGTGTTACTAAATAATTTTGTCGAAAGTCAAAGAAGAATGAACATAATTAAAGTTACAACATATGACAAACACATGGATGATGCTGTTTCCTTCTCAACGTTACCAATTTAAGACAAGATTACTAGCATTTATCATCATGCTTTTTGCTGACAATTTCAAACAAGAAATAATGACTATCATGTCATTTTTGCCTCATTAATCCTTGTAATATTTTCAAAATTCCGAACTGTAGACCATATTTTTGGTGGTGACCTAAGTGTTCCAATAAGTTTTAATTAGGAGCTAATGGTACTATCTACTTGTGTTAGTAAATAGTAAAATGGAATTCTGAATTATCTTAATAAATGATAATACCACATCTCTAATATCTTGAACTTGTAAAATCTCACACTTTTTTTTAAACCCCTCCGAAATTAGGAGAATTTATAGTGTTTTCTCACTTCCCCTGCAGCGTGACTCTAACTCAGGATCTAACGGTCGTGGGTGGAGGTGCTTTTTACCAACTGAGCAAACCTCACTCGTCAATCTCACATACTTTAACATGGTGTTAAGAAAATGAAGAATTAACCTAAATAGCTCATCCAATAGAATTAACCTAAATAGCTCATCCAATCGCTTAAATTAAAAAATATATATGTAATTCATGTATATACAACAATATATAATTTATGTATATTGATTAGAAAAAGTAAATAGTGAATCCAGCTAACTCCAGTAACAATCACTTATAAACAAAGATATTTTCACATATTTCGTCCAATTGACATTTTCGTATAGATAGTTTCAATCAGCAAAACATTTCATTACAACGTAAAATCTAATTTTCGTGTACCTAATTCAAGTCCTCTTTGTCGTTATTATTTTATCTAGCCATCCTATAATTTTATAGGTCAAAAAAAAGATATAAAAACAGAAGCCTAAGCAAAAAGAAGTCAAACAAAATATTATACTTGCTTGATTTCAAGAACCACCAGCAAAATAAAACAATTGATTGTTCTCACTGATATTACACTAGCTTTCCTGTTAAAATCCCCTCAATTCTTGAGTCCTTGACTTTACAAAAAAAACACTTTTCCTTTAATTATGACAAAAATTGGAGTAAGTCAAAACCACATCACATAATAGGGTCCATTTTGATAAAACTTATCAGAGTCCATTTATGAACTAGTATAGCTTGTGACATACAACAATTGACCAATTCATATAACACATCACCTTTTCCTTACAATAACTTCTCTTTTCATCACACCACTATGTGGGATTGACATCATACTAATGACTTTTTTTTAATATGATCTTATCTTCGGTTCAATTTGCACGTATCACAATTAATTTCATGTGATATATGTTACTATCCATTAACATAGGTATCAGATAATTTTGTCCATCAAAGTATGGATAAACAAAAGAAATCACTTAATCGCTGGAATTTGAACATAAGATCTCATGATTCACAATCCATATAGTGTTTTTTTTCTATGATATATTTTCTTCCTTTTGAGGTGGTGGTGGCTAGGGGAGGGCAAAGAAAATGTATCCATGAGAGAAGGGGAAAAAATTGTTTTAAAAATTAGAAGTCAAGAGTAGGAAAATTTGATGGCCCATTGCTCCCCATTGCTTTGCTGGATTGAAATTTTGTACTCACACTTAGAAATTATATGGTTGACTTCATGCCTAATACTCATTATCCTGCTGATCTGAAAAAGAACAACAGAATTTGAAATATAAAGATTGGATTACCTAACTTTCTGCATATGATTCAAATATCGATTTTATGATTTTTTTTTTTAATAAAAAAATAATATTATATATGTAAAAACTACATAAAAAAATTCTATAAATCATATAAAAAGTCCTTCCAAACTTTCATAATTGAAGATACTTATAAAATATTTGAAGGAACTTTAGTCGATGAAAAATTTGTTACACCGTTACAAAAAATTGGACCATGACTATCTATTTTTTTCTTGTACTCTAAAAATGAGTTCGCTTTCAAATTGCCTACAGTATGATGACTGTTGGCTTATACATAGACCTAAGTGTACCCCAAAATCACCAAATATTGGACTCCCATATAGAGCCCAATACAAAATCACCCAACCCAGAAACTAAAGGCTTGATCCATGTAGAGCCCAACGCAATACTAACCCAAAGTATACAATTCTTGACGTTATTCCCAAAGCTCAAACCCGAGATCCATAGCCGATGGTTGAGGTTGCAACAATCCCAATCATGTCCCTTGGCTGAGTAACCATTTCAGTATGACATATAGTGGTGGCAAAATAGATAAAATAAGAGCAAAAAACATAAATAGACAAAATTTAAGAAAAAATTTCACAAACTTAGCAGTAATAGGTATTTTACACATAAGGCAACTAAATAATTATATTCTTAGCAGAAAACTTTAAACCATGTCCCTAAAATCACGCATCCATAATGTTCATTTCCTTAAAAATAAAACCAACAAATGATTGTTATCTTTTATCTCTCTTCTTAAAATGGAATTGTCGTTAATTATGATTTTGTTGGCTCTTTCAATTATGATAACGTTTTATTTGATGGTATTACCATATTTTATTGATAAAATGTAAATGCTTGTATAANTATATATATATCATATCATTCTTTTTTTTCAATATGATAAATATATACGGTGTATTCTCGGGATATTAAATTTTATAATATAAAATATACCATATATTTATTGTAGAAATATTATATATTTAGGGCACATTATAGTTGTGTAAAATATTACTATATAATATTACTATTATATATAAAGTATAGAAATGATTCATGAATGCTTCACTTTTGATAAAGCCTTTCATTTCTTTAGGGGTTGAATTTTATGGAAGGGAGAGAAAATAGTGAAAAGGAAGAGAAAATCATGGTTTTAAGTATTTTTAAATTTATTATGAAAGATTTATACTAAAAATATAACATAAATCTTTACACTTATTCTAGAAAGATACCATGAATATGCAACTGTTATATTCAAATGTAACAGAATATAAAATAAAATTTAATTTAAAAATATGTGGTTATACATTGTATATGTGCATGTTTATCCACGTTATTTAAAAAATATTCTTAGTATATTTACAGAATAGGTAAAAAAAATGTATAAGATTATATATACATGTATGTGTATATACACACGTTAAATATTTAAAAAAATAATTCTAGTACATTGTAAATTTAGTTAGAAAAGTGCTTAATTATATAACATGTATAATAATTGTATATTGTATATTCTTATATGTTTATCTTTCTATTTTATTTAGAAAATATTTCTGGTCTATTTAGAAATTAGAAAGGGTTGCTTTTTTATTTTTTAATTAATTTTATGAAAGAGAAAGAAAATAGGAGAAGCTGAGATTTTTTTACCAGATCATTAAATAAGGTAGAGAATATTTTCCTAGGACTATGAATAGGAAAGAGAAATATAATTTATGGACGAGAGAGAAAGATAAATAAGATACTTTATAAGAATCTAAACGTACCCCTAATAATGGAAAAGAGTTAAGGAATTAACAATTACAATATGCTACGTTTGTTATAAAATGTGCTATTATTACAAACCTCCCCACCCACCACACCACCTCCCCGGCTGACAATTGGTTTGAGGTATCATTTGATCCTATGTTTTTGCAATACAAATCTTCCCTCCAGTTGCTTTATGCTTCAAATCTGGTATAAAATTGTTCTCTCTTCAAATAATAAAAAAGATTAAGTAAAATTTTTCGCACCCTTCAAATGATAAAAAGACATGAAATCAAAAATCTCTTTACCGTACTTGAAACTTTAAGCATAAAAAATAGTGTGAATTAAAAAAAATAAGTTATCAAACTTAACAGTGTACAAGTTTTATAGGTAAACTGTACTATATCATTCCTTGAGATGTATCAATTTTTGAATGACAACCAATGTCAAACTAGGCCACTTAAAATAGGACAAAGGAATAGCAATGATAGATACCTCGATATCATGCTTTGATAAAACTCCAAGGTAAATGTACCTCACAAATCCTATAAATTACTGAAGACGCTAGGCTAGGTAAACATCAGAAAGATGAAAAACAAAATCTGTGAACTGAAAAAGTAGAAAGCATAGCTTGGATCAGATATAGAAAACAAAGCATATGGTCTCTCAAAACATCAAAACGATCCCAATGTGTCAATGATATTCCACGATCAAGACAATTGAAAGTTGTCACAAGCAAACTATACATTCACTAAGACATTCAAGCGGGCATATAACTGTTTCCGTTTTACCTTCCATTAACTCTCTGACTCTCCAATACGCTGACAATTTTTAGAAGTCTTGCACTTTTCTATGGTACACAAACCACTTCAAAGAACCATCAAAATGAAGATTAGGCATGAGAAGATCCTTGTTTGCTGTCATTAACCAGTGAACCAACTGTTTTAAACCAACGCATAAGATTCCGATGGTCCTTCACATAGAGCCAAGCTTGTAGAAATGGAAAGAGGCTTTCATTAATTCCTCGCTCTTCAATGAACCTATGCAGTGCATCTCTCATTGCCTCATCAATATCTCTGCATTTGCATAAAATAAATAAGATGCTCCACTTCACAAAGTTTCCAAGTCTCAGTTGCACATTAGACCCACTGTTTAACAACAAAAGGCCCTCCACCACTTGACCTTTTTTGTGCATGAATAATAAAATGCATAAATACATCAGAGTAGAGTCATCTTGTTTGAGAACAAAGAAAAAATATAGAAACAAAACTCAATCGCACACAACATCCAAAAGAGAACAAGCCCTTGTGAAACTGGAACAACAATATCTTTTTGATAAATCAGAAACTGGAATAATATCAGACATTAAAAACAGGAAGTAAACATTAAAACAGCAAGATAATTAAAATTCCACTCCGGTTGATCTAAACATCTAAACAGCTCAGTTAAAAGAGTTAAGAAAAAACAGTTACCCTTTCATTGACAACATACAAATGCACAGATAGAAGAGAATGGGTTTTAGCAAACAACATCTTCAACTAATAAAACTTCTCCTTGTAAGCAGCTTCAGCAGGTGTCTATGATCCATGCTCACAAACCGTTGATTCCATTGCTCAACGAAGAACCTCTAGAAAAGTAAATAATTTATTTAACAGAATTGTGTGAACCCATCCCAAAACACATGAAACAAAGAATGACCAAATTCCGGATTCATCCTAGGCTGACAGATATCTCACTTTTCCTACATAAGCCAAGGTGGCTTTCTTACCCAGTTAACTCTTTTACTCCTACATATTCTCTTTCTTTAACTATACTCAAAATGATCAGGTACCAGCACCATGCACTGTTTATAACTTTGATCATTCTAATTATCACAACCAATTTAACAAGTCTACATTTCTGAACATGTGTCTCCATGAAGGTCGGCATACACCCTAGATAAACCCCCATGACAGCCAAGAGGAACAGATCCCTTAAACAACAATAGTAACATTTGTTTCAACACTGGCCATAAAAACCTTGTTTTCTTCCGGTTTATCTAGTACACTTTTGCAAACTGGGTGACCGAGAATAGCTCATAAGCTACTAGAATAAATTTTCAGATCATCAAAATGCTTCACTATTTGCTTGGGTCAAATTCCTAGGTGGCTGCATCAGAGTTCAGAGTTGTTCACATCCAATCAACTTAAGACAAATTCACACTGCACCAGCAACAAAACAGATACTACTTTTGTTTTAAATATTGACTAAGATACTACTTGGCCAAGAATAGTCTTTCGGCCATCCACTTTGATGTTACCCATATATGAAGGCTCCGGTGCTCACGCTTCTGCCTCAAAGATATTTTTCAAGGCCAAGTACCCCTTTAGCTACCATTTCCATTATTGACTCTCATCCATCAAAGTTTTGGGAAGTTGAAAAGCAAAGAAGTGGTGGTCAATGAATTGCATTCTCAAATTGTGTGGAAGAACCGAATTAACAGAAGCAAACACCCAAATAATTTTCAAATCAAATGTAGGGTTATGAAGTGTAACTGGAAGACCATTCAGGCATCACATCGTTACCTGGGTGAACCCAATTACCCAACAAGAAATCAAAAGAGAAAAAAACCATATAAGAACCAGGTCGATACTGGAAAAGTTAGATTAAGGAACAGATTGATTTAAGAACTGGGAATGGAAGGGAAGAATGGATAAGAAAGAATGGTGCATTTTCAAGTCAATCTATGTAATCTTACTCATTACTCTTTTTCTATAAGTATATCTTACTCATTGTTCTCATTCTGGTCATTCTACTTCATTTCCTTTCCATTCTAATCCAATCAACTCCTAATGGATAGCTTGTGATTGATTGTTATATAACCTTGTGTTGTTTTAGTTGGAACATCATTTATTCATTTAGTACGAGCGTCCATCTCCTTCTCTTGATTAAAGTGTTGAATCTTGACTCTCTTGATACCCCCCTACTCTGATTCTACACTGTTATCATGCAAAAATGCTTAATGCATATTCACGAATAGTGATAATACTCATGCAGATTCAGTTGAAAGAAACTTGAAATTCTCCTTGCAAAATAAATTTAAAAATATCCTACGGCGTGTTGTAGTAGGTTATGATAGTTTATCCTAAATCATCTTACAAAACCCTGACCTAGATGAAGAAGAATAAGTAATCTAGGCATTTAAACTCCCAAGTGACTGGCTTTGGTGTCCAGACGGAAAAAAAATTCGAATTTTACTTTCTTGATCTGAATGCTAGGAAGATATATGGTGTGGTTGCATCACTTATCTCTACAAGATACATGTTATCCATAATTTTCTAACTATCCTGATGGAAAGATATGGGATTGTAAGGTTTCAGGTTCAGGCAATTTTTAGTTCAGGTTCAGGATATTTTAAAGGAAAAAGAAACTATTTACCTAAATGAATGAATGAATGAATACATGGGTGAAATAAGATTTCTATGGACGAGAAACTGCGGAAACATGACAAGCAAACATAAATCAGCAGTTATCTATTGTATAGTGTACTCCAGTTGCACAGCAAGTCAAAAGCACTGCCCACCAAATAAAATGTGCCATTATTTTTTATTGTGTGCTTAAGAATTTTGATTATGCTATCAAATATGGGACTCAAAAAAAAAAATTCACTTTTGTATCAATTGGTGTCTCACTAAACTAAGGAGCTTGAATTTTGGACTTCCATCCATCCAAATCCAATCGCCTTTTATATAGAACAAATGAATAAACAACTAGGTGATGGTGTCTGAATCAGTAGAAACAGACGGACAGCCAAACATCCAAATATAATCGTCTTGTATACAGAAGAATGAACAGAAAAGACAACTAGGTCATGATGTCTGAATGGGTACAGCCAAACCCAACAGCATAACAAGCATCGGAAAAAGACTTACTGAAAAACTGGGCCACTGTAATTGGTTGGAACAGCAAGAAACCCAGTAGACTCAGCCTTTGGCCTCAATGAAACCGAGTGTATTCCCAGAGCATCTGGATATAGCCCGCAAAGAAAATGCAGAGATTCCTTCTGTCCTGGCTTTGAAATATCAACATGTAGAAAAAGCTGATTGATACCATCCTCCTCCTCAGCTCCACCACCTCCAGGAATAATGTTGGCCAACCGCATGACAGAGATACTGATTTCCTCATTTCCATGTGTTCGTCTTAGAACGGGACCACCTTGATCAAGTGCCCCCTTGACCACAGTGAATGGAGTAGGAGGGCTAACTTTCTGTCAATCACCCGAAAAATGCAAAAAGGAAATCAAAAATCACATTAACAGGAGTTGTCACAAATAGCAGCAAATCATTTGAAGCTTAAATAAAATTTAAAACTGAAGTTTGTAAATTCCACACTCAATGACAAGATATTGCTTCAGATTTAAGCATCACGACCTTCGTTACAAGTGTTAGGTATGGATGTCATCATCTACGAGGCTATCACTTAAAACAGTAACAAAATCAATTAAAGAATATATTCAAATTTCATTGATCGTTCCTTTTTGTTTTTCTTTTTTGGGTGTTTTGATAATAAATCTTAGATGATATTTTTCTAGGTACAAGAAGAACCGTACACTAAAACAAAGACATGGTTTACACTTTTCCATTGAAAATTTTCTTCCCACAACAATCCCCCATAATTATCTATTTCACTCACAAACTCTAACAGATCCCAGAAGAACAAAATTGCACCCAGCATCATGGCAACTTATTGCATCGTATTGCCATCCCACCCCATATTTCCTAAGAGAAGAACTATTATAAATTTATAAGACTATCCTACACAGTTATTGCTAATACATATGTGAGTTGAAGTGTGTAAACACAAAAAAACTGTAATCCCTAACTGTACAACACTAGTCCCTTACTAGTATACCTGAGACACAAGCTTCACAATAGATTGATAATTTGTGCCATAATGGAGGAATTTCTGCCATTATGGACACATGGCTTCGAATCATCTTTATGGTCCATAACTTAACACCACTGACAATCCAAGTCTACAAAAGTGACTTGCATAAGAACTCCCTCCTCGCAGTAAGTCTAGGAAGTAGACGCCTTAAAGCTAGTCTTATAGAAGTGCTCAAACATCTGGCTCCTAGAGACCAGCATAAAGGTCTAAAAATAAACAACTGATGTTCTGTGCTCCCTAAACCTAATGCAAACAGCCATGCTTCTTATTTCAACGCCATCTTGACCAATATTCACTATCACATCAACAGAAGTCAAAAAAACTCATATCTAACACAATTTACAAATAATCAAATATCATTGCTCAAAAGCATGTAGGCTTGTGTAACTGTTAGCCCCTCGGCTTGATTGATCGAACATGGCATGGGCGTGACGAGGGATTTACATGATGGACCTCGGCAAAGCCCTATGATGACGGTGGCATCATGTTGACAAGGCTGTCCGACATGGGCAGGTGTCGATGGGCATGGATTGTGGCACGACAGCATGTGGCTTAGGTGCCAAGGCATGACAAGACCATGGAATTGGCGTGGCCATGGCAAGGCAGAGACAACGGACAGCAAAAGCATAGCAAGGGCCGGAAAAACTAAGGCAGGGCGTGGCAAGGCANATATATATATATAAAATATGTGTTTCATCCCCACAAAATACTAGTCAAACAATCAGGAATGCTGCACGAGAGCATGGCGCGAAGACATGATAAGAGTTGGCCTGTTGGTGTCAAAATTCAAAGGTTGCGCCCATGTGCCACGCACATGCAAGGCAGTTGGGCAGTTTCCAGTTTTTCAACATGAGTGGCTGTGTGGGGTTGTGGGCAGTTGTTTGTTTTGAAATTCGAAATTTGAATTCCTTTGCAGTTGGGGATGTCAACTGCTAGGTTAGTGTTAGTTAGTTCACAGTTATGTATATAAGTCTAGTCCCACATTGGAATAGGAGTAATATGTACTTTGTAGAGTATAGCTATAAATAGGACTTCTTGTAGTATATTGAAATACTAATATCAATAATATATTTTCTCTCGTGCTTTCTCACATGGTATCAGAGCCATGGTGGTGAGACACATCCAGGAACTAGAATACAGAGTCAGAAGTCACCGTGCCTCAATTTTCCGACGACTTTACAAGGTTGTTTGCGTCATCTCTCTCAGTCAGTGTTGTGAAAAATCCAACACTATCACAAGATCCGTCATCGTCCGGCGACCAAACCCCAGTGAACATCTCCAGCAGCAGCCTCCTCACGCGCCTTCACACGCCGTCATAAGCTAGGGTTTCGGCGAGCGCGTGAGCTCACGCGCCGGCGAGTACGACCACTTCCAGCCATTTTTTTAAAAATTTCTTCAGAACAGTTGGGTCGTCTACTAATTTTGACCCCACCCGTACTGTTTTCGTTTGATTCTGACCACTTTGAGTTTTTCCGGCGACTACACTGATTTTTTCCAGCAGCTACAGTAAATTTCCGGTAACTACAATGTTTCTTTCATCTGTTTTAGTAGATTACAGTTGATTCTTTCTCTTACTTGGGACAAGTACAAGCAGTCATGGAGGAATTTGAAAAGTTGATTCCAATTTCTGCTAGTCTTGAAAAGCAACAATAGCAGCGGCAGAAGATGTTTCCAGTTCTTACCCTCGCTGGACTTCCTAATGATCTTGATTCAGTACGCGACCAGATTTTGGCTAGTCCGACTGTCCCCACAGTTGATGAATTATTCTCTTGATTACTCCGCCTTGTTGCAGCACCAAGTCACCCAATGATTTCATCACAGACACTTGACTCCCCTGTTCTCGCATCCCAGACAATGGACAATCGGGCATCTCAAACTATGGAGAATAGACGATGAGGAGGTCGTTTTGGAAGATCTAGGCCGAAGTGTTCTTATTGTCACAAACTTGGACACTCGTGAAGTGTTTTATTCCTTACATGGTCGTCCACCCAAAAATGCTTATGTTGCCCAGACCGAGACTGAAGGGGAATATAATGAGTTCCTTTAGTATCGAGCAAGTAAGCAGACATCTCCACAAGTAGTCTCGGTTGCTCAGACTGATACTTCTGTTGCTGGTAATTCTTTTGCTTGTGTTTCCCGGTCTCGTACTCTTGGACAATGGATCATGGACTCAGACGCTTCTGATCACATCTCTGGTAGTAAATCACTTTTGTCAAATATTGTATATTCACAGTCTCTTCCCACTGTTACTTTAGCCAATGGGTGTCAACTAAAGCAAAAGGAGTTGGACAAGCTAATCCCATATCTTTTGTCTCCCTAGATTCCGTTCTTTATCCCTGGCTGTCCTTTTAGCCTTGCATCTGTTAGTCGTTTGGCTCGTGTCCTCCATTGTGGTATATATTTTATTGATGATTCTTTTATTATGCAGGACCGCAGTACGGGACAGACGACTAGCACAAGGCATGAATCAGAAGGCCTTTACTACCTTAACTCACTCAATCCTTCCACAGCATGTCTAGGTACAGATCCTCCAAACCTAATTCACAGACATTTAGGACATCCTAGTTTATCCAAATTTCAGAAGATGGTGCGTAGTTTATCTAGTTTGTTTACATTAGATTGTGAGTCGTGTCAGCTTAGGAAACATACCCGAGCCTCCTTTCCGCGTAGTGTTGAGAGTCATGCAGAGTCTGTTTTCTCTTTAGTTCATTCTGATATATGGGGTCCTAGTAGAGTCAGTTCAACCTAGGGATTTCGTTATTTTGTTAGTTTTATTAATAATTATTCAAGATGTACTTGGTTTTTCTTAATGAAAGATTGTTCCGAGTTATTTTCTATATTCTAGAATTTTTGTGCTGAAATCAAAAATCAATTTGGTGTTTCTATTCGCACTTTTCACAGTGATAATGCCTTAGAATATTTATCCTCTCAATTTCAGCTCAGTTTCAGCAATTTATGACTTCTCAAGGAATTATTCATCAGACATTTTGTCCTTATACCCCTCAGCAAAATAGGGTTGCATAAAGAAAGAATAAGCACCTTATTGAGACTGTTCGCACACTTATCATTGAATCTCGTGTTCTGTTGCATTTTTGGGGCGATGCAGTTCTCACATCTTGTTATTTGATTAATAGGATGCCTTCATCTCCCATCCGGGATCAGATTCCGTATTCAGTATTATTTTCCCAGTCACCTTTATACTTTCTTCCCCCTCATGCTTTTGGAGCACATGTTTTGTTCATAACTTAGCCCCTGGGAAAGATAAGTTAGCTCATCGTGCTCTCAAGTGTGTCTTCCTTGGTTATTCTCGTGTTCAGAAGGGATATCGTTGTTATTCACCTGATCTTCGTAGGTACCTTATGTCAACTGACGTCACATTTTTTTAGTCTAAACCTTTCTTTACCTCTTCTGACCACCATGATATATATGAGGTCTTACCTATACCAACCTTTGAAGAATTTACTATAGCTCCTCCTCCACCTTCAGCCACAGAAGTCTTACCCATACCAACCGTTGAGGAGTCTAGTGTTGCTCCTCCTAGATCCCCAGTCACAGGAACACCACTCTTGACTCATCATCATCGTTCGCGCCCAATATCAAGCCCAGCTGATTCTCGTCCTGCACCTGACCCTGCTCCTACTGCGGACTTGTCTCTTCCTAGTACACCGATTGCACTTCGAAAAGGTATACAGACCACACTTAATCCTAATCTTCATTATGTCGATTTAAGTTATCGTCTGTTATCCCACATTATACTTTTCTTCTTTGTCCTCTGTTTTCATCCCTAACTCTACAGGTGAAGCATTGTCTCATCCAGGCTGGCGACAGGCTATGATTGACAAGATGTCTGCTTTACATACGAGTGGTACTTGGAAGATTGTTCCTCTTCCTTCAGGTAAATCTATTGTTGGTTGTCGTTGGGTTTATGCGATCAAAGTTGGTCCGGATGGCCATGTTGATCGACTTAAGGCTCGTCTTGTTGCCAAAGGATATACTCAGATATTTGGGCTCGATTACAGTGGTACCTTCTCTCTCGTCGCTAGAATAGCATCAGTCTGCATTCTTCTATCCATGGCTATTGTTCGTCATTGGCCTCTCTATCAGCTAGACATTAAGAATGTTTTTCTTCACGGTGACCTTGAGGATGAAGTTTATATGGAGCAACCACCTGGTTTTGTTGCTCAGGGGGAGTCCCGTGGCCTTGTATGTCGCTTGCGCCGGTCACTTTATGGTCTAAAGCAGTCTCCTCGAGCCTGGATTGGTAAGTTTAGCACAGTTATCCAGGAGTTTGGCATGACTCGTAGTGAAGTTGATCACTCTGTGTTTTATCGGCATTCTGCTTCAAGTCTCTGTATTTATCTAGTGGTCTATGTTGACGATATTGTTATTACTAGCAATGATCATGATGGTATTACCAATCTAAAGCAGCATCTCTTCCAGCACTTCCAAACTAAGGATCTAGGCAGATTGAAGTACTTTCTAGGTATTGAGGTTGCTAAGTTTAGCTCAGGTATTGTTATTTCACAAAGAAAATATGCTTTATACATTCTTGAGAAGACATAAATGACAGGTTGCAGACCTGTTGACACTCTGATGGATCCGAATTCTAAACTTCTGTCAGAACAGGGGGAGTCGCTTAGCGATCCGACAAGATATAGGCGGTTGGCTGGTAAATTAAATTATTTCACAGTGACTAGACCTGACATTTCTTTTCCTGTGAGTGTTGTAAGTGAGTTTATGGATTCTCCCTGTGATAGTCATTGGGATGTAGTTGTCCGCATTCTTCGGTATATAAAATCGGCTCCAGGCAAAGGGTTATTGTTTGAGGATCGAGGTCATGAGCAGATCGTTGGATACTCAGATGCTGATTAGGCAGGATCACCTTCTGATAGACGTTCTACGTCTGGATATTGTGTTTTAGTAGGAGGCAATTTGGTGTCTTGGAATAGCAAGAAACAAAATGTAGTTGCTCGGTCTAGTGCAGAAACAGAATATAGTGAAATCAATTGCTCAAGGATTTGAAAT